GGGCCACGGCCCACCCAGAGGCCCTGGGTCCGGCTGCGTCAGGCCCGGCCTGCTCCTGGGGGCTGAGTCTCCCCAGGGCAGCGCCCACAGGGTCTACTTTGGCCCAGAGGCGAGCAGGGGTTCTCTCCGCCCAGCAGAGGGGTGTCCTGTGGGGGGACACGGGTCCCCAGGCTGGCTGGATCACAAGCCAGCCTCGCCCCCAGAAGCCCCCAGGCAGGACAGAGGGCCCTTCGCCCACTCCAGCCCTGGGGCCAGGCCCAGCGGCTCCTGAGCAGGACCCCAGGTGGGCAGGGCGCCAGTGCTGCCCGTGGGCCAGACACCCCAGGGCCAGCGCCCCTGGCTCCGAGCCCCAGCTGGCCGCCCCCATCAGGGAGGACCCCCACCCCGGGGGCCTCGGGAACCTGACACAGGCCCATCAGGGCTGCGCTTGGGCAGCCCCCCTGACGGTGACGGCAGCCGGGCCACGGTGCAGCCGGAGGACCCCCGCACAGGAGCCTGGACCCTGGGCTGGAGCCAGACCCAGCACCCCGGTCCCTGATCCACGCTCCCAGCAGCACCAGAGAAGCCCCGTCGATGCCAAGGTCTCTGGAAGCGGGGTCTGCCCTGAAGGCTGGAGTGCTGTGCCGAGGGCAGGGCGGCGGGTGCTGGGCAGCCCTCCGGGCGCGGGTCCTTGCCCACCGCTGGACCAGAGCTGGTGGGTCCAGGGCCTGCGCCCGGCGCCAGCAGTGGGAGCCTGCCCAGGCGGGCGGACCTGGAGCTGGAGTCTGCACGTGGGAGCTGCTGCTGCTCGATTTTCGGAGGCCCCGGGGAGGGACCTGGCCCCGAGCCTGGAGGGGCGTGCCGGGCAGAGGCCCTTCTAGGAACACACCAGGCCCTGCCAGCAGCCGTTCCAGAGCCGGCCGGGAGGGGGCTGGGCTGACCCTCACCGGAACCCTGGGGCCCAGCGCCCAGGCCGCCCGCGCCCAGAGCCCCAGGAGGAGACCTGCCCTTGGGGAGACCCAGGCAGGCCCCGGGCAGGTCATCGGTGACCCCCACCCCAGCACTGGCCACTGAGCTTCCTCTTTTGTTGTTTGTTTGGAGGGAGAACCCAAGACACTCACAAAACAGGAAGCTCGGCCCCCACACCGCACCCGGCCCCTCGCCAGGCACCGGCCGGTGAGTCCAGCGCCATGCTGCTCTGGGTTCAGCGGCCGCCCTGCTCTGCCCGGGGTAGCTCCGGACTCTCGTGGCCCCAGCTCCGTCCGTGTGGCTTGGGGACAGGCAGAGCCAGACAGCCAGCTCGGTGAGGGGTGGTGTGCCCGCAGAGGCCCCGCCCGCCTGACCAGACCCTGCCCTGTGCACCATTACCCAGGCCGGGCCTTGTTCGTGGGAAAGTACCCCACAGAGCTGGCCCACCTCAACCCCGCCTCCCCGCACACGAGCGAGTGGCACCCCAGGAAGGACCCCAGGGAGGGCAGATGCAGTCACCAGGCTCACAGCTAGCACCCACGTCGGCCCGCCGTCAGGCACCGGGCTGCTCCCACCGGGACACCGGGCCGGCGGGGCAGGGCCGGCCAAGGCCCCAGCCAGCCTGGTGGGGACAGGCGCAGGCCAGCCCACCGTCGGGTCTCTCGCACCCTGGGGTCCTTGCCAGCTCTCAGGCCCGGTCCTGGCCCCCGCAGTGAGGATCCTCAGGCCCACCCCACCGGCCAGCACCCGCCGGCCTCGCTCGCCCGGGGCCTGGACTCCGCCAGCGGGACCCTGGTTGGGCGTCATTCAGAGCAGCTCTCAGAGGGGCGGGCTACAGGCAGCCCCAGCTCAGGGGGCCCCAGTTTAAGCAGGCAAAGGCAAGTGCCCCCAAGACATCTATCTGCCTGGACCAGGCCTGTGGCCTGTTGACAAAGCCTGAACCACAGGCGAGCTCAGCCGGACACGTCCGAGGGCCGCGCGTGACTCTGGCCTGTGCCCACTGCTGGGTCCCACTGAGCCCCGCCCCGCGGACGCCTGAGCCTCCCACGGAGGCCGACTCAACCCTGCGCCAGCCCCGATGGGCACCCCGGACACCCCCACCCCAGAGGCAGTGCCAGCCCAGAGCCACACCCTCGGGGCCCCAGTGGCTCCCCAGATATGTGACTTCCCAAGGGGTGAGCCTCCCCCCACCCCAGCTTTCCTCTGGATGCCAGAGCCCGAGGCCCAGGGCCACCCCACTGCATGTGGAGTGTAATGGGCCACACCACACAACGGCTGGACACCCCCACCTCAGGAAGGGGTACCACTACAGGCCTCCAACCCCATACCGGGATCCCCTCCAGCTCTCTGAACACCAGAGCACGCCGACCCCCACCAGGTATCCTCTGCCCTCCCCCAGATCACCCCAAAATCTTGCATGCAGGAAAGGGCAGAAAGACAGATGAGCACACCAGGGGGCCCAGCCTGTGGAGAGGCCGCCGGCTCCCTGCCCGACCGGTCTCCCCCGAGCTCTCCTCACCAGACCTGCTCCACGTGGGGAAACTGAGGCCCGAGGAGCGCAACAGCCTCAACCGGCTTTCTAGAGGCCCGTGGGGCCTGACGCAGGCGCCCCCTTGTCCAGGCGGCACAGCCCGTGGTGCCAGAGGCCGCAGCGCTGCGGGCACCGGCAGGCTTCCGTGGAAAGTCGGCAGTCGGGTCCCGGCCAGGGAGTGGCTGTGCTGCAGGCTGCCGCCAGGCACAAGCACAGCAAGCTGAGCGGGCCACGGGGCCGGCCGGCGCCTCGGACACAGGAAGTGGCCTCCCAGAGAGCCCAGGCGTGAGCGGGGGAGGGGCTGGCGGCTGTCCTCCCGCACGGCCACCGCGAGTGCCGAGCACACACTGGCCACATCATCGGCCTGCCCCGTGCCCCCACCTGCAGCTCCCAGCTGGCAGCGAGCTCCTGTGCACACCACAGAACCCAGCCTGTGACGCCCTCTGTGGCCAGGCTGCCCCGCCTGCCCCTGGTCTGAGGCCCCCCCGTGGGCTCCTGGAGGCACCAGGACCACCCAGTGGCCAGCCAGCCCTGGGTCCCCAGAGCCTGGGGAGGGAACAGGCCTACAGGAGAGGAAGCAGGGCAGGGGCGCTCCCTGGCCCAGGCAGGAGGGCGTGCCTAGCCGGGGGTGGGGGGACCTAGTGTCGAGGGGTCCCCCCCGACCCCCCCTCCCAGGGCCCGCAGGACGAGGGAGCTGGGGCCAGGCTGGAAAGTGAAGACCAGGCTGTGCACATGAGCAGGGCGGCCAGGCCGGCACCCAGCCAGGCCCCGGGCCCAGCCATGCCCTGGGAGCCCTGGGCACACCAGGCCTCAGAGGGGCCCAGTGTCCTCCGCCTTCCAGGAAAGCTGGGCCAGTGGCAATCCCCGCCCACCAGATGGGCCACGCCCCGCGGCCAGTCACCACACCTTGAGGCCTCTCTCAATCCCCCAGAGGCCCTGTGCCCCCCCACTCCAAGGGAGACCGGCGCCCAGAGGCCCCGGCCACCCGTCCCTCTCCGGGCAGCTGGCGGCCAGCTCTGTCGGGGACCCCCCCAGCTCACCTCGCTTGTGCAGCCAGCCCTCCTTCACAATGGCCACGTCGGCCATGGTGCCCGGGCGCCGGCAGGCTGGGGCGCAGGTCCGCGCTCAGCAGGGTCTCCCGAGCCCACGGCCTCTGAAAGGGACGGAGAGGTGTCGGGCTGGCCCGGCTCAGCCCTGCTCAGCCCGCCCCTCGATCCCCAGGCCATCCCCTCCTCACTGCCCCCCAGCCCCCACTTAGGGCTCCTGTCGCAGGAACAGCTCCCATCTGCCCAAGCCGGAGCCGGAGCCCGCCCCAGTCCCCCGCCCCGGAGGAAATCACTCCCATCCTGAGGCCCCAACCTGTGGCCAGCAGGGCCACCTCCTCCAGGCAGCCCCTCTGACTGCTGGGTGCCCAGGCTCAACCTCCCCAGCCTGCCATGGGCTTGTCCCCACCCACAGGGTCTGGGGCACCTCCTCTCGGCCAGCAGGGAAGACGAGGAAGGCAGGGCCCGAGGGCTGCGGCCGGCACAGGGATGCCAGCGAAGCCCTGCGCGGCACGGCCCATTCATTCGCCAGCGTGCGGGGCCCTCCGGTCCTGCCAGTCTCGGTGCTTGGCGCTGGGACAAAGAGCTCCAGTCGGGCCGTGGCTAGCAGCGTCCAGGCCTCGGTGGTGGCAGCCCCATAATTACAGATGCGGGAGGCCACACGTGGGGGTGGGGACTGTGCCCCAGAGGCCCTCTGGCCAGCCCTCACTGGGAGGACACTGGGCCATTGATCCTGCGGCCCTCCCGCTGGCCCCTCTGGGTGGACTCCTAGGGACCCCTCCAATCCCACGCTCCCCACCGCCTGGGCAGGCCTGGGCCGCCTCCATGGGCACTCCTGCGGGCAGCCTGCGGGCAGGCCGAGGACCCCGCAGGCCCCGCCCACACCGCCTCGCGGGACTGGCCGGCCCACAGCCCGCTGCCTCGGGCGGGCGGGCGTACAAAGGCAGGAAGACCCGCTCCTGGTGTCTGATGCCAGGGGGCACGCCCTCCCCAGGGAGGAGGGCGCCCGCAGAGGGGCAGGCTGGCCTCCAGCCCCTGCAGGGGCCCTGGGCGCTGGGGACCTCGGGAGGCCCCGCCCCCACGGGCCAGAGCGGCCTGCTGCGGACACAGCTGTCGGAGCTCGCGTGTAAAAATATATCTGCACACGAGGGGCGTCGGCAGGGGCGTCCGCGGCCGGCGCCGCCAGCTCTCTCTCCTAGCCGGGAATTTAGGGCGCAGCCTCTGGAGAGGTGGTCTCGGCTCCCCCGCGCCCTGCCCCCAGCGGGCTGTGAAGTGGATTTCCATTGGGGGGCAGGGCGCCGCGTCCACCAGTGCCCCCAGCCAGTGCTGGACGGGGCCATCGGGGCCCCAGACTGAACCCAGGCCCTCTGGCCAGAGCCCAGTCCCTGTCCCGCTCTGCCCCCATGGCGCCGGGGCGGCC